TACTTGTAAGACTATAATAAAGAAGTGCTAACTGCATACAATATCCAAGTCCTGGGGCCCATGATGGTGAAAAAGAAGAAAGTAGACTAATAAAAGTAGTCTTTGTACTGTAACGTTACCTGACTATATTTTTAGAAGTTGTTAGAGGTCAGAGCTCAGCAACAAAGACATTGAGAGGTTGAGAGGAAGGTAATCATGAGAAAGCAGTGGCCCAGAATTTGGGGCTACCTCAGATTATAAGGCAGTAGAAAAATCACCACATCTCCATCAAGGGTGGAAGGAAGAAGAGAGGTACTTCAGATGAATAGCCGAGGCTTACAGTCAGAGCTCACTTATGAGTCCTGGTGCTGGTGTTTCATTGCCCCACAACTGCAACTGTCCCATGAATACTGCTTCTTGATTTTGATAGTATCACATGACAGCTCGGTCATTTGGTAAAAAAGTGACTTAATTCGCTTCTTGAGACTCAAAGATGTTAATTTCAAATATGAGAAATGTGCCTTCTTCATAGAGGAGAAATCCCTTCCCATAGGGCAACCTACCTGGAGACTACTCAAAGCCACAAGCTGCCTATGTTAGCATGATGTAGACCTAACACCAGAATATACAGAGTGTGCTTAGGCACCTGGTCACTTTGTCCTTTTTGCTCAAGTCTATTTCAACAGTGATCAGAAGGCAGAACTCTGGGAGAACATTTTGCTGGAATTCACTCAGATGGAGAATGGGATCTCAGAGGTGCTTGCAGTGGGAAGTATCAGACAAGAGCCCAGAAATCATGGCCAACCATTTCCAGGTAGACTCAAATGTAGAGATTTATTCTAGTTTTGCAACATATAGTGGAGACACTGTCCCTGAGGGAAAGGAGTGGAAGAACCAGCACATGGATTTCTAGGGTGTGCCTTTAGTCCATGAACAGAGCCATATGGTTTTCTCTTTCTCTTTTGATGTTTGGGAGGTTCTGGCCCCACCACTGATCTTCTGCTTTGGAAATCAGATATCAGGGACAAACCAGGAAGAAAAGAACTGACTAGCCAGAGATGCTGCTCAGGGGACCACACACACTGAAATGAACTGCAGGAAGGTACCAACATAGGAATGGAGCTCTGTGGTAGAACTGGGTCTGCAGGGTAAAAACTAAACAGCTAACCTTCTATGGAAAGCTATGTCTGGCCTCATAAGGGGAATGGGGTGTTTGAAACTTTACCCTTGTACAGAGTAAGGGAGGAGAAGGGGACAGGGCAAATCAAGCTATTCTGCAGAAATAATAACTGCCTAATAAAGAACAGATCAGAACAGGCCTTCAAATGCAGAAGCTGTTGCAAGGGCAGAGAGCAAGAGCAGTGTGGAGAATAAAATGGCAAAGGCAGCTAAACATGACTGATTAGATAGGAACAGGGAAGTTCAGACTTGCATCAGAAGGGGCAGTGGGATCACAGCTCACAAAGTGGTGAAAGCCTCCCTGAGGGGAATGTACGCAGTCTCTCTCTGGGTTATGATCCTAAAAAATTGAGGCCCCAAGTCTCTGCTACTAACATCTTAGGCAGTAAAAATCCCAGAGATAAGAAATAAACTTCTTAGAAAGAATTCAAAGGTTGCTAGGGAACCTTCCACCTAGATATTAATCCACACATTTCCTAGTAGTCTCCTCCTCATGTGTTTTCTCACTGGAACTGGTTTCCCACTCGTGTCCCCAGCCTTTACACTTTAGCAGAAACAACTTCTCAAAGACGCCGTAAGGCTGGAGGAAAGTGACCAGAAGCTCTGGAGTATATTAAAACATGAGGGATGACTATAAAGTGATAATTTGTTTAAAGCAGAATTTCTTAACCTCAACAGTACTGATATTTGGGGGCAGACAATTCTTAGTTGTGAAGAATTGTCCTGAGTATTGTAGGATGTTTAGAATCAACATTGGCTTCCATCCACGAGTGCCGGGAACAAGTTGAGAGGATCAAAAACATCTCCAGAAATTCCCAAGTGTCCCCTGGGGGGCAAAATCCTCCCAAGTTGAGAACTATTGTTCTAAAGGAAGCTACCAACATTCATTCAAATAACAGTTTGCTTCAGAGTAATCACTTTGCCAATTACACATTTGTTTCAGTGATACAGTCATTAAAACAATTTTTGAGCTTTTCTTTAATAATCAACTTTAGAGTTTCTCAGAATTTCATTTAAATGGTTTTAAAGGAGGAAAAATCGTTGCCTACTGCTTCTGTACAACAAGTTCAGAACTAATCAAAAGTTGAGTTGGTTTAGAGGCAAATGGATCAAACAGACCTATATTTTTATCAGTGGGGTGGGAAAGGGTAGGGAGTAGAGCTGGGTTTAATGATAAAGTAATTTACTACTGACATTTTCAGCTTATGGTTTATAAAACAAGAACAATTCCCCCCCCCAAAAAAAACCACGGGAAATGTTTGGAGCTATGGCAATATTAGTGGAATAGATAGATGGATAGATAGTAGTTTGAGGTAAATATTTTTGAAGAAACACTCATTTAGATGTATATACTCCAGCAGAATCATTTATCTGCTGGAATTATCACCCATTAAAAGGAAGCAAATCTAGAATACGGAATAGTCTCAGTGAAAAATTATTTCAAATGACAAATTTTCAAATTTGTTAATTATAACATATATGCCATGTGTGTATGCGGCAATATATACATAATATACACACATGCATTACAGAAGCAAAAATACATGTCCATGTCACTGACTACACAGGATTTTGTGTTTTGTTTGGATGGTTAATATATATATATATATATATATATATATATATATATATATATAT